TATGTACGTACATATACATCTACAGTATTCCGTAATATTACTCAGAGTTCCATTTGAGGGTCTCACATATTACGGAATACTTTATAAAAGATTTTAATTAAATTATATATAGAGTGATGGTTATTCTTTTTATTAAAAATCTAAAATTAATACTAATTAATATTACTGTTTCTTACAACACATAAGGTTTCTCTCTAATACTAATCTGAAGATCTATGTTCTAAGTAATACATTTTAGAAAAAAATATAAAAGAATAATAAAGATACTGTGTTACAAAAAATTTACTTTAGAAAAAGATAAAAACCAAAAAAAAAAGATTAAGGAAAAATAAATATATATCTTGCCTAATAATAACCTCTCAATCATCATATAAACCGTAAGCTTACTAATTGGTCCAGCATTGAAACAAAGTGAAGCACATGAAGCGATTGCACCAACCAGCTGTTTCGTTTGGGCCTCACACACGTGGGCCTTTTCGTCGAAACGCTTAATTTCTCGTGATCCATGATCGATGCAATTCCCGAATTAAATTTGCATGTGCGGAGAAAATTTATTGACTTGATTCTTTGGTATCTTTCACGGCCGGACCAGACCTAACTGACCGCTATCACGTGGCGATAACGAACCATACAATTAAATTAACAAGCGGCTCGATCCAATGGAGGCTGCGCGATTAATGATCCACGTGTCTTCACGATCGTAGAACCGATTGAAATTTCTAATCTGCTAATTTTACTTTTAACACGTCAATTTTGTTAAGTTTTTGATGCAATGAGAAATCTATACACATTTATATAATTCCATCTAAAAAATATATTTAGAAATTTATATTTATACATATATAAATTTCTGCATATTCTTATATTTTCATTTTGTTATTTATCTTATTATTTTATATATAACAATATGACGATAAAATAATCAAGAAGTGAGAATATTTTATGAAATATTTTATATTTTATAATAATCAATATACACGATCTATTAGAAAAGAAAAGATTTCATGCAACAAATCTTTTTTTTTACTTTACTTACACAAAACAGATTTTGTTATAAAAATAATAATTAGTAATAATGGCGAAGTTTCGTCATTTTTACATCAAATATAAAACAGCATACATAGCGACAGTTTGCAAAATTATTTTTGAGGCAAAATTCACTATTATTTTTTTTTCTTTATATAAGAATCTGCCAATGACAAAAATAAATACGAGATCAACATTCTACAATAAATACGCCAACAAATCTATCATCGTTAGATGCAATTAACATATGTCCGTGCGTATCCGAATCAATGTTTCGTCCGCGTTGCGTGTCGCATGTGCGTGCGTAAACGAGGTTACCACGTGTATTTACCCTTTACCCGTTATTTCTAATGAATCGCCATTTGTCATATCCGCGACGCGCGACATTATTGTTACAATATTATACCTGTATGTTACACACTCGGTATATAAAGTATACAAAGTGACGCTATTGCCTTGTATTCGCGTAACCCGACTTTATACTAGTTGTCGTTGCACATAAAACGAATTCTGAAAATTTAAGTTTCCACAATCTTTTTCTCTTCTTTTGCAATTCGTTATCATGATAATGGCGTCTATTTAAATTTAATGATCTGTTTGTACGTCGTTCTTTTTTTTGTCTAATCTGTTTAAAACCGCGAAGAACATCTGTCAAGCGCAGAGGCGCCGATAATCACTCCGACAAATATGACGTGTCCGCTTTTAACATGACGAATCAAACAACCTGTTGGTATATTCGTGATTTCCATACAATGGAATCTTTGTTATCTGAACGAATATGTAAATTTTAAATTGATAAAAATACAACTTAACTCAAAGAGACCCTCACCTGGTAGAATCCTGCCGACCGATACCACCGGTGATGCTGCTGCTTTGAGTGCTGACTCTGATGAGGGTGAGGTTTCTCGGTAAACTGGAAATTGTCAAGACGTCCTTTTGACCCAAGAGAGGAGATTCCACTTTCTCCAGCGATTCTCCCGGTCTGTGACTCTCCAATTCTTTTTCCTCTTCCTCCTCAATTGTCCCCGGAAGTCGAAAAAGTTTCGGTGGATCATCCATTCTCCTTCCTTTTTCTCAAGAAAAAAATCGCTCCGTTTTTAATTCCATTCCGGCATTTTTTTTTTTTTTTTTTTTTTTTGGTTCCTGTTTCTCCCCTTCCCTAGATTTTTTAAATCTATCTTTACGCAGGAAACCTCATTTTGATCTCCTCGGTCGTCATCTCTTTGATCTGAATTTATTTAGATTGATTGCTTATTTTGCTTATTTTAATACATATTATTTACTTTTGCTTTATTTTATTTGTTAAAACGCGATAATTTCGATAAGATCGATCATCCAGCATCACTCGATCTTCTTAGGCTCCAGATCCTCGTCGATACTGTAAAATAAAGAATTACATTTGACAACCATATATTTGACACATCAAATATCTTTTTATAAGTCATACATTTATATATCGCTGATGCAAAAGCAGCTTGTTACATTTACAAGTATTGCATAACAGTTTCGAGTAAACAAGAAAGAAAAATTTTTATCTCGGTATTATAAAATTGATGCAGATATCATTATTAATAGATCTGGCAATAATACGTCTATCAACATCGTGACTGCCGTTTTGATACATCTTGTAACTAACAATTTTCGAATAAAATAATTATATACCAATCAGCAATAATTGTAATAATATCTTGCTAGTAAAACGACACGAAATGTACGCATAAATTGAACTAATCATTTTTACTATCCTGTATGTGTGTGTTAATATTCCTCTATCAAGAATTTTTAAGTATCCAAAAAAAAAGTTTAATTTTATTTCTTTATAGAAAAAATTTTAAAAAAATTGGGTGTCTTTTTTCTATTTAATTTATTAAAATAATATTATTTAATAGTCAATTAAGAAATTAATTATAAAAGTGCATGGTATCGATGGAAAAAAAAGAAACACATTTATTAGGCAAAAGTAATTAATGTAATTATTAAGCAAGTGTAATTCTCACATATATGTGCGCTTTTTATAAAGAATTAAAACGGCGTACCTTTTAAAATAACGACGATTTTTCCGCGCTTTTTCAGTTCACATCGAGTATACGTACGCACGTCACACTCACAACTGTTTCAGATTCGCTCGCGTTCATCCGCTCGATTCACATGAGATCTCATCATGGCGTTTACCTCTTTACAGCGCGCAGGCGGGGATAATACGTACGCCTTAATGACACACGTATAAAGCCTATTTCAAACGGTCTAATGTGAAAAAAGGGCTCATTTACTTGTAAATAAAATTATCTTACATCTAGAAAAATTTTTACAGAGATTACAGCCCATTGCATATAAAATTCTAGACAGATTCTTACGTCAAATTATAGAGAATCTAAATGAGTAATATAAAAAAAAAAGATATAAAGCATTTTTATAAAAATATTACAAAATATTTATTTTTATTCTTTATCTACAACGTAAAACACAAAATTAGGTAGAGATATTTAAACAAATTAAATAGGATTATAATCTTCAGAGCATCTGAGAGCGTTTGAAATAAACTGGCTACAGAAGATATTTTTAAAAAATTGTATTTTTAGATTAAGATCTTTATATATTACTTATAATATTGTTAAAATATATTATGTATCTAATATCTATATCACAAGCTATATCTCTATATCTATATAATATATCTATATAATATTATTTGTAATAATACTTAACGCATAAATTTTTAATTCAATTCTGTGTATGATACCGAATTATTATATGTATAAAATGATCTCTCTTAATGTTATGGATCTAATGCATCGCTTCGCACATGCTCTCCGCATGTTTCCTCCCATGCCGGAAACAGATCCCAACGGCACGCGAGGACACATGAAAGTCTATTAACTATATAGATTTGCTTTATATTTTTGCTCTATATAGATTGGATCTATAGACTCTTTGCGTTAGTGTATCCAAATGGGAAATTTTAAGGATACTCTAATTCCGCTTCGTTATTTTCTAATAAGAAATGTCTTTAATCAATATATACAGTAAATTTTTCTCAGATTATTCGTAGATTATTAGAGGGAGATTTTCTCTGCTACTTTTCGGAGTTTCGAATAAAACATAATTTTTCATCGATTTTCGAAATAACTATTTTCAAGCAAAAAAAAAAAAAAAAAAAAGAAAAACAGAAAATAGCTATCAATTTTTTAATATGTAAAAATACCTCATACTTGAAATTTTAATTGTAAGATTATTTAACATAATTAATAATAACATGGAATATATAGTTGTTTACATACAAGTTTCTCGATTTTCTGCAGGTATTAAGTTTTAATATTCTGGGTTTTACATAATATCATTTAGAAGAGAAAAATTCACATAAATATATCCACGCAAGTTTTCAATATCGCTGGAAATCAGAATTATAAAATACATAATTAAAAATCTTAAAGACTTGAAAATTCTTTAAGAAAATCTTTATCAGTAGGAACCTAAAGCCCGTGCATTTTTTTTAATCGGTATGATATACTTCTGAAATTACGGAAAACGCATTTTACTTTAAAAAATTTTGTTTATATTTTGATTTACACACCTCCATGAATTTCGCGCATGCTTACAACGATTCACTTTCAAATGGAATCATTAAAAATTTCTTTATTCTTTTTAAGATTTTTCGTGGAAAAACGCGAATTTTTTTTTTGTACACATTATTGTAAAAACTCGAGTTATCACGTTTCACAATAAGAAAATACGTGTGATATTTCGCGACGGCAAAGCATTTCGCGAAACTGCGAGCAAGTACGTATTGACGAGAAGACGCTCATCAACGGGCTTTTTCGGTGACGTCAGGCTTCTTCTACGTTTCATTCACACTCTCCCCTCCCTCTTTCTTTCTCATTTCATCTTATTCCTCTCTTTCTCTAAATAACCTTCTATTACCTCCTACTCATCTCATAAGATCGAGAACCAACGCGAAAGTTCCGCGTCTTCACGGTCGAGTCCGTGAGTTTGTTCGGAGTTTTCATGGAATCTAACAACTGTTAGAAATACGCATGTGCGTTTTCTACATATTTTTGCAATTTTCTTTAATTTTTTTCAAAGTTGGAATCAATGAGTCTAATAGCACAGCTTTCTAAGATTTCTTTAAATAAAATACATTTAAATAATAAAATATGTACTACATCGAATTAACCAGGAAAAAAGAAATCTGTGAATTTTATTGTGTTTGAGTAATTTGTAATTAAAGTGAAACTAATGTGCAAGTATAAGATCCGGTTTACAGACGGATGCGAAAATAACATCGCGCACGTCTCGGTGACAATGGCCGTCATCTAGGATGACAGTCACCGCGTTAAGAATAAGAAAAGCGTATCGCCTTGCAACAGCGAATTACAAGAAGCTTCGTCTGTCTGTCCTCGGTCTGATATGCAGATTACTCAGTGCTATCGCGTCGTGAATCGCGATCATGTGTCCGCAAAATTACTTATAGTCCGTAAAAACATTCTGCGAATCTTAAGGATAAAATAATAAAATTGTACATTGTGAATATTATATATATCTTAATTTAGTTTCAAATTTAAATACCGCTATAATTTATACATTCATAAATATTAAATGCATATAAAATACCACATTCTTAAAGCTTTAGTTTTATGGAATGCTTTTATGAAATGAAATATATGTGTTTTGATAATTCTATGTTGCATTAAAGTGACAATTATATACACACACATGTATGTATATAAAATTGTATGTAATTATATAATTAGATGTCAATTTGAATTATCCTGTATGAATTGTGTAAGCATTAAGCTGATCCAAAATGATGCGTATCTTTGTTAATCTAATTATTCTATAAATCCTATAGACTCGCAAAATCTATACGCATTTTCATGTTCAGGGACGTCCTGAAACAAGCCGAATTTAGCAACAAAGGTTGTCTAAATTGTCCTAACTGGGGCACAAAGATATCATGTAATGTATTCGTACGATTTAAATTCCTTAACTACGCAACATCCGGGATTTAATGATTAAAGAGTCTGATCAAGCAAAGTGTTCTCATAGTACTCTCGTATGTCGACGTAAAGTTTCCTGATTTATAAAATAATAATCTATTTTTATCTCGAACTCTATTCACAATTTAAACAATTTTTATTCAAATTTAAAAAGTTAAACGATAAATTATTAAAAACAATTTGGTCAAAAAATATATTTAAGAAAACTCAGAAAGTTACAATTAAGGAAATTTCTTAACACATAATTTATTTGCAATTTTTGCAAAATATTTATATATTTGTAATCTTTTCGATTCTAAGAGCAACACTTAAAATATAACAAATTAATTTTGATTATTAAGAAATTAAAATATTATTGAAAATTAAATAATAAAAGTATAATCTTTTCTGCAGTTTAATTCGGCAGAACGCACACAAGCTATAAAATAATAAGCGTGAAGAAACTTTATATGAAAATTATTTAAATCTAGTTTATAGTTAATTATAAATTTAAAAAAAAAATCCAGTATTCTAAAATACGAGTTCAGGATACTTGTCTTCTGAGTGATTTCTCAGGAATTGGTTGAAGGACAGATTGTAAAAAAAACTGATTGTGTATCCCGGGGGTCACAGAAGATAAGCGGAATGAGTTTAATGCCGGGAAGTGCCCTCATTATCACGCTAGTCAATCTTTTAATCTCCCGCCTCGCGTTTAAAATGTTCATCATCACGTATCACACGCGTGTACGACATTTGAATTCTCGCGACCGAATATCACGCATGTCATAACGATTGCTTTCACGAATTAATTTTTTTGCGTGTAATTAAAAATATATAGCCGACTAAGAAACAAGCAGTTTCATTTTCTCATATGTTTACTTTGCGCAAATAAAATTAATATTTCATCGAGCTCCGTTTTATATAAGTCAATTTAATAAAATGTATGTTATCAAGACAAAACACAAAATTATTAGAAAAATTGTTGAATTACAGATTATTTAAATTCAAATAAATGTAAATATGTTTTACTCAATTTTCAATTTTCAAAGTTTATTTTCTCAAAAACAAAGACTTATATAGATAAAATGTATTCTATATGTTCAACATATTTTTGCATAAAAAGATCACCCTTTATAAGAGCCTTTCGAGTATAACATAATTTTAGGCACAACATGCATACATACATCCTAAACAGAGATTAAAAATAAAATTACATAATTATTATATATACATATACATATATGTTTTAATCTCTGTTTAAGTTACATTTTTTTTCTTTAATTTGAGTATTTCTTGCTATATAATATTATTGTTTCTATTATAGAAAAATAATAAAATTTTATAACACTTACCTACGTTTGCTTGGTTGGACTTGTGTTTTGGGAATGAGTATGTTTCGCGAGCGTTTTGTTGTTGATATTGAAACTTGTCTTTTTGGAAACATTTTTTACTTTATAATCATCGCACAAGCTGGATCTTCTAAATGTACTAGGATACTGCACCTCTGTATAGTCCGCAAAATTCCTTTGTCTGTTTCAAGAAATTAAAAAAATGAATTAAATCATTTATCATAGAATCCCAAGATCGCCGAACTAAATGCAAATAAAATATTTCTAAAAAATATTTTAGATTTTTGCCCACCTAATATCCGGATTGCTTCTATAAGATGATTTCTTTAGATCGCTTTCTTCTTCCTCTGTGATTGATTTGGAACTTGCTTTTTCACTTCTTCTCGAATCTAATGTCGTCTTCGAGTCACTTTGTTGCGTGCTGTCTTCTTTCCCATTTTGTTCCTTGCTTTTCCGTAAACACGCATTAATATTTTGTAAAACGCGATCGTAATTTTCATCGTTTGAGTTCTCGATATCGTGTTGCCCTTTTCTCATCTAAATATTAAAAAGGAGATATTAATTACAATTCTCATATTATTATTATTATACGTTTTATCAAATAAAATGTTAATTAAAATACAAATGTCAATTAAAATAGAAATTTGTTATAACATAAATTATTATATGTTTGCACAGTAAGCCTATTATGGACAACCAAGTAGCTATATCATATTTCTTTGATAAAGTATTTTAATAAATCTTAAAAAAAAAAAAAAAAAAAAAAAAAAAAAAAATAGTAACAGAAATATCTTGCATATATTTAGTTATTTATTCTTAATTGATTATCACCTCATTCTGCGCGTAAAAATGTGACTGTGGGATATCAGAGTGCATGTTGATGCTCTCTCGTCTACAGGAACCGTCTGGTGCGGTGATTAGCACCGGAATCGGATTCGCAGGTGTTATCGCCGGTACTTGCATGTGTAAGCCGCCAGTTGAAGATCCCAAACTCGATCCAGAAGTCATAGTTAATGAACTACTGCTGGAGGTATCGCGATATTCCGGGAACGCATTTGAATTAAGACGTTCTAAAAATGTCAATTAAAATAATTAATGGTTAGTAATCAATAATTAAAATAAAAATTAAGAATAAAAATAATAAAAAAGAAGAGAAACATAAAATTAATTTGGCAATATTAAAGAAAATAATAAATATTTACCAGCTTTTGTATCGCGATGTATCGCTCGGATACGATCGAGATCGGCGGCGGAGCAGAGTGGAGTATCCACCTCATAAGTGTTATTAAAAAGACTGTAATTGACCTCGTACTCGCCGGTTTCTTTGCGAAAGGAAATGATGGATTGGAATCGATGACCCCACAGAATCTCCGATGGCAGATACGAGCTTCTCGCTTGCGTTGTCATGCCAGTAGATTCAATCACTCCTGTCGATATTATTAATTATCATTATTATTATATTATTAATTATCATATTGAATATTTAATCGTTCCACAATCTATCAATAAAATATGACATTTTTACAACCTTCCAACATCACGATGATCTCGAATCGCTCTTGCAACATGTCGCTGGCTGATATCCTATAGAGTGGCGAATGTCGATCGATCTTATGAACAATCGTGGTGGGCCATATAAAAAAGATCTTATCCTCCTCGCCGTCGCCCCCCACCTTCAACTCCGTCTGGAAGAACGGCAATAATTCACCTTCCTTCGTAATCTGAAACATATCATGTACATTGACAAATGTGACAATGACAATGATACATAATTAATTTTTTCTCTATATTTTTTTAAAAATATAAAAGGTAGCACAATTGTAGTTCCACCTTTCTCTTGATCATCTGAGCGCGAACGTGAGCCTCGATAATGTGGCTCTTGCGCATATCACCGACGCGAAACATCAGACAAGGCTGACCGTCTCGTTGACAGATGACAGCATTGCGCGAGAAGAGCAACGTTTGTGTGCGCTTTTTAGGACGCGATAATTTGGCGAACACGATCCCGACCATAAACGCCTGTAGGATCACTCCGGTCATCGATTGAATGCATAACGTAAAAATTGCTTCGGGGCACTCGTCCGTTGTATGCTTCGCCCCGTATCTATACATATATGTCATTCATACCTCCATTAAAAATTTATAATGATAACATATTTTAATTTTTATCATAAAAAATTATTATAATAATATTAGCGTATTATAATATATGTATATGTTTTATATGATAATGTGTGTAATATATAATATAATTTACCCGATTGTATGCTGCGTCTCGACAGAGAAGAGGAAACAACTGGTGAAGCTGCGTATATCCTCGACACAGGGAATGAAAGTGTGATTATTATAATTGTTGAAATCCAGATCTCCATGACTGTACGCGATTAACCACCATATGAGGGCAAATCCCAGCCAGGATAACAAGAAGTTCATGGAAAACACTAAGAGCGTCCATCGCCATTGCGCATCTACCAGCGTTGTAAAAATATCCTGCAATAACGAAATAATTTATTATGCAAAAAATTAACATATATTACTGTATGCTTTTTATATATATATTGTTTTTTATTAATTTCCTCGACGATCTAATATTGCAAGAGATATTCACCTGAAGATAACGCCGACGTCGTTTGGCGACATTTCCCTGTACAACATTGCAGTCGCCGTGTTTAAAGACAACTCTTTTTCGAACTCTTCTGGAACTAAATCTGGCTTGACGATATCTTGAAAAGAAAAATTAATCGGATTAATTTTTTTCCAAGTCACATTTAATTCTTTAATTATCTAAGTTAGAGCTAAAAATAGACGATGTATTTTACTTAGATGATCAAAAATTGTTTTTAATATTTCAGAATATAATTTTAGTTAGCAAATTAACGTCTGTTTATAATCTATTATATAATCTCATTATTTTACAGAAGTCTATACATCAAAGACTCTTTGAAAATTTAACGCCACAATTTTCGGCGACGTGTGCCTATGAAACAATTTCATCTTTTTGAATTCACGAAAAACTTTGTTCATCAATTTGTATCTATTATCAATTATCAAATATAATTAATAACTTATATATACCAAAAAATATCAAATAATTTTCTTAATATATATATAACCTATTAATAAATAATGTAATAAATAATGTAATAAATAATGTAATAAATATATGCAATAAATAAATATAATTTAATACACAAACAGATAAATATATGATAGATAAATCAAAATTGCAAATTTTAGTAAAATGACTACAAAGATGCGCAAAGTGCAAATAGACATCAACAACAAGTACGCTTCAGAGACATTCCCAAACGCCAAAAAACGCGTAGTATAAAGTCGTCGTCGATCTATTTGCATCACAGGTCAATATGTCAGGGTTGAGAGCCATGCGAAATCACGCAAATTTAGAACGCCGTTTGCCAGACGACGATGTTTGATTCGAAACTAGACGACGGCCGATTAATTCGAAATCTAATTTCATCAAAGATAATATAATCGCAAAACCAGTCTTCCAACCATTTTACATTATTCTATATGAAATACAAATGTATTGTTACGTCGCATGAGAAAAATAGGACAAGCGTAATCAATTTTATATTTTTATATATATATCTTATGTCTAATAAAAATATAATATGTGTTATTACTAATTAAATAATTTATCTTTTTAATTTGATAAAGAGAGTTTCATATAAATAAATTTTAATTAT